CACCTCAGCAGCCCGCGGGGGCACGTGGGCCAGCGGCTGCCCCGGGGCAGTCCCATGGGGATGCTGCAGGAGCTGGCAGGGAGCAGGGGCAGCTGGGAACCGAGGGAATCCCCGGGGAGGATTGCCATGTGTCCCATCCTGCGTCCTGCTCCCGGGCATCCCCCCCGCCGTGTCCCTGCCTGTGCGCGCCGCCTGGCTCTCACCCCAGTCAGCTCCTCGCTGCCTTCCCGGGATGGTGGCCGGCCCCTGGGGCTGGGCCTCCGCTCCACAAACACCACCTCGCAGCATGCCTGGTCCTCGTTGTGCTGGCTCTTCCCAGCATTTATCACCCTGCCAGGAGGAAAGGAGGTGTAAAGGCTCTTTCTTTCACACTGCATCCTTCCCTGACCCCCATTTATGCCTCCACGCTCCTGAGGATGCTCTCAGCAGACACTCCTGGGGCAGCGGCAGCCAGACCAGGAGACGTCCCAGAACAGTTGCAGGGACTGATCTGGGACCAGCAACAGTCCTCGCTCCCATCAGCACAGCCAGATCCAGGGGACAGCAGCCACCCTGGCCTCCACAGAGGGAGGTGACCAGAACAAGCCGGGGTTTGCTGCAGGTCCCTAGCACTGCCCCAAGCACAGCAATTGCCCAAAAACCTGCACCAGCCTCGATGCACGCACCCCCAGCCGGGACTCAGGGACACTCTGCAAAGGGATCACAGCCTCAGCCGTGTCTCCTCATGCCCAGCACCTCTCAGAGGAAGCAAGTGCCTCAGGAGGAGGAGAGAAGGCAATGAGGACAAAACCAGCAGAACTTTTGCAAACACATTCACACTAACTTCTCACAGTCTGTGCTGGCAAAGCAGATTTCAGGTCTAGATTGCAAACCCTGCTCACGGGAGGAAGCTGTAAACACACACAACAGGATGAGCTCTTTGGGCACAGACTTTTCAAGGGGTTTGCAGAAAGAAGTCTTGGGAGACACAAGAGAAGTCTTGCTGCTGAGGAGAGGGGTGGGTTTTGCTCTGGGTACTCCCACCCCAGTATCTCCTGGGGCAAATTAACATCTCAAAAATCTGTCTAGGATATCAGGAAGCTCAGCTTGAGCAAGGGATGTGACAGCACTGAGCAGCAAACACAGCCTTCAAAGCCTGACCTTCCCTACCTGCCTTCAGCTAAGGGCAAAACTCCCAGTGAGCAGAAGGAGCAGAGAATCAGGCCCTTGAAGGGGAACTCAAAATCAGGTCCCGCTCCCACGACAGCATCAATTCCTTCCTCCCCTTGAGCCCTGCGAGAGCCGCAGCAGTTCCCTCAGCCCTCGGTGTCGGTTCCCCATCAGTGACCCTGGCCATTATGCAGATAAGCACCAAAACCAAAAAAAAAAAGACAGAAGAGCTCGAAATCCTCGGGGATGGATGAGAGCATAAACCCACGCCGACGGCTTTCCCATCAGCAGGCACCGAAAGAGCAACCTTCCCGGCTGCTGCTGCTGCAGAAC